TTTGTTGTACTAATTAGTTAATTTGGCTATTTGTATCTATGCTTTGATCCGCCCAGTTTTTAATTCGTAACTGAACTGAATATAAATAATCCTGATGTTAAAAAGAACACAAGCTTCAATTCAACATAACCTGTCTTCTCTTCTTAGAAAGGATTATTTTTTCCAATTATATGAAATTTTAAATTAGGTCTCTTTTGGCTGAGCTTTTTACAACTTTGATACAAAGATTGTCAGATTATTAACACGACATAATTATATGATGCCAGACATCTCGAATTATGATTGACTCTAAATTCCATGAGGGTTGGTTTTATTGTTGATGTTGATATTTCATTATGGGTTGGTTTTATTTTTAATGTTGATATTTCATGTTATTTGCATTTGAGCTAGCAAAAGACATCTCTATGCTTGGCATCCTAATTGGTTTAGAAGTTTTCTCCCCCTGGAATTCTATGGGGTTCAGCTTAATATGCTTCTCTCTCTACTCCACGAGCTTCCAAACTCTTATTCTGTACCAGAAACCTCTGCAGGCATCAGCAGCAACAACTGATGCTAGTTGTGAGTCTGCAGCGACTACCCCTCGGCATGCTCTCAAAGATGCTAACAACCCTGCAGGGTATTTATTCAAATCTGACCCTGCTTTATTGTGTTATTGTCATGTAATTTCTTAATGTAAATTTTTTTTTTGTAGTCAACATTGATTTCATTAATAAGTCTATGCTTTTGGCAGACTCCTCTCCATTGCGGAGGAGACTTTGGCAGAATTCCTATCAAAGGCCACAGGTACTGCTGTCGATTGGGTCCAGATGCCTGGGATGAAGGTTTGTTGCGTCTTGTCTAAATTCATCTGTTAATTGGATCCTTTTCCTGTTTCCCATTAATCATAATGTATTTCCAATTGTAAGATTAAATTGAATGGCATGTGTGAATTTTTATTTTTGTTGTCAGCCTGGTCCGGATTCGGTTGGGATCTTTGCCATTTCACAAAGTTGCGGTGGAGTGGCAGCTCGAGCCTGCAGTCTTGTTAGTTTAGAACCTACAAAGGTAAGATCTCGCAGTTCTATTTCTTTACTCCTCTAGGTCTTTATTCCAAGTTTTTATTTATCACTTCATGGATACCTGATTCTATTATGTGGCATGTTGTTGTTGGCTGTCTCAAAATTCAACCCATACA